AAAAGTAGATACTCAACTACATTATTGTTAGTTATGGAAATAGATAACAGTGACTACCAGCTAATTTTTTTAAGGGTAGGTGTAGTTTATTTAATTAATTGATTTAATTTAATTTTTTTAAATTTAATTAATCAAATCATTTAAAATTGAGCTTAAAATTTTTTTCTTAAACTATTAATATAACTTATTTAAAATTCATAAAATTTATAATAATATATTAAATAATTCTATACAAAAATTATAATATAATAATATATTAAAATTTAATTAAATTCATCACAAGTACAATTTAACAAGAAAATTAAAGATAATAATTTTTAAAAATTATTTGTTATTACTATTTTTAAAATATTTTTATTTTAATAATATTTTTCTTCATTTTGAAGGTTGATTAACAACATGAAGATATCTTAAAAATCTGATAGTATATTTGTTACTTCTCATTTACTATAAAAGAAATATTGTTATTTGTATATTTTAAATTTTTGTTTGTTACACTTATTAATTTTAGGTTTGAAACTTATTTAGTTATATTGTATTTGTTGATATAATGTGTAAGATTTTGTACTACTAAATTTGTTTAATAATTTATAAATTAATGTTTATTTTATTGTATTTTTTATATGTGTAATGATTTACTTATTTAAATTAAATATGTGATTTGAAAGTAATAAATAAGAATATATAATTTTATTATACATATTCAAAGTGTTGAATCATTTTTTAATAATTTATTTAAATATAAACCTTACTTTTACAAAGAAAAAGTTATTTAGTTAGTTTAATAGTTTATTTATAAAAAATTTAATAACTTATTGTGTGTCTCAATATAAATTAAGTAAAAAAAGTTGAAAAAATCAAATGGACTTTAAAAAAGTTCTAACTAAACTTAATAAAATATTAAACAGGCCAGACTTGTTGATGCAAAATTTATTCTAACCTATTTTTATTTATATACATCATCTTTATATTTTAATTTTTCAATGTAAATTAAATTATATATTTTGTGTTCTGTGTTTACGTAGAACTTAAATTAACTTATATATAACTTAAAGATATTTATTTAATCTTATTCAGTTGAAGGCGTGTACGTAATAAAAATCCCGAAATGAATGAATGCCTCTGCCTAAATTGTGTTGCGCGTGAAAGATTAAATTATATAACATGGCGGATGAGGGAACTGAACTTCACAATATTAAAGCAAATTCTTTAGTCTCATTTCCCCACACAATCTTCTTCGCTGATTACACGGCCAACAAACATTCCCTGTTGTTGATTCTAGATCTGTCATTATAAAACTTAATCCTTTGTATTGAAGGAAGAGCTGAAAAATGTTGAAGGGTATTTTTCTTCCCTATATGGTAACTAGTCACATAATTCCTCTAGTAGACATAGGAAGGATCTTCGCCATGCATGGCGTGGACGTCACTATCATTGCTACACCAGTAAATGCTGCAATTTTTCAAAGCTCCATTGATCGTGATTCAAGCCTTGGTCGCTCCATTCGAACCCTCATTCTTAAGTTCCCACATGTGGCTGGTTTGCCAGAAGGAATAGAGAACATCAACTCTTCAACTCCTGTAGCCATGTTCCCCAAAATCATGGAAGGAGTAACCATTCTTCAAGGCCAATTTGAACAACTTTTTCGTGACATCAAACCTGATTTCATAGTCTCTGATATGTTCTACCCTTGGAGTGCGAATGCTGCTACTGAATTGGGAATTCCAAGGTTGGTTTACATGGGTTCAAGTTATTTTTCTCACTGTGCAAGTAACTCCATTGAAGAATTCTCACCTCACACTAAGGTGAATTCAGATAGTGAGAGTTTTTTGCTTCCAGGGTTGCCGCACAAGTTGGAGATGACACGTTCTCAGTTACCCGATTGGGTCAGAGAACCAAACTTGTACACTAATTTACTAAAAATGATTAGAGAATCAGAGAAAAAGAGTTATGGGTCTCTGTTCAAAAGCTTTTATGAGTTTGATCGAGGTTATGAGGAGTATTACAATGCTGTGACTGGCACCAAGAGTTGGAGTTTGGGACCGGTTTCCTTATGGGTGAATCAAGATGATTCGGATGAGACTTGTAATGGACATGCCAAAGAAGAAAAACAAGAAAAAGATGATTGTCTTACATGGCTTGATTCAAAAAAAGAGAATTCAGTTCTCTACGTGAGTTTTGGGAGCATGAACAAATTCCTTGCGACACAGCTTGTGGAAATAGCTCATGCTCTTGAAGATTCTGGCTATGATTTCATTTGGGTAGTTAGAAAAGTTGATGATAATGTGTTGGAGGAATTTGAGAAGAGGGTGAGAGAAAGCAATAAGGGTTATCTAATATGGGGTTGGGCACCGCAAGTTCAGATACTAGAGCATCCTGCCACTGGGGCTGTTGTGACTCATTGTGGCATGAACACTGTTTTTGAAAGCGTGAACGCAAGTTTGCCAATGGTGGCTTGGCCTATTTTTGCTGAGCAATTTTTCAATGAGAAGTTGTTGGTGGATGTTCTGAAAATTGGAGTGGCAGTTGGAGCAAAAGAATGGAGAAATTTGCATGGCACTGCGAAGGAGGTATTGAAGAGGGAGGACATTGGAAAGGCAATTGCCAAAGTGATGGATGGTGGGGAGGAGTGTTTGGAAATGAGGAAAAGAGTCAAAGTTCTAAGTGATGCTGCAAAGAAGGCCATTCAAGTTGGTGGGTCTTCTTATAATAACATGAAAAATCTAATTGAGGACCTCAAGTCAATCAAACTTCAAAAAGAGGCAGCGGCTTAGTGAGTGGAAAAGATGAACAAGACACATTATTTTTGGGTCCCATGATATTTATGAGACTCATAAATAATGTGTTTTTATCTCTCTTAACTATGAGAATATATGTAATAGCACCTAGAACACTATTGCCTTATGGAAGATATGGCCTCTTGTAACTCAAATAATTTGGATTTAATTGCAAGTTATGGAAGATATTGGTGATGCTTTCAGAATTTCTTTACCTTGCTCGCTATTGTGTCATTTATTTTTGTTTTTGGTCCATATGTCATTTTCTTCTAAATGTTGGAGAATTGCAATTCGGGTTATTATATATATCCTACTAATCGTTAAACTTGCCAGTGAAACCGTGTCGTATTGGTTTGGTTTTGAAAGAACAAAATAATATATATATATATATATATATATATATATATATATATTATTTTACTTAAATTTAATTGCAAGTAAAGTAATAAATAAGAACATGTAAGATTTAAGTTAAATAAAAAGTTCAAATTGTGTATAAAAGTTTTTAGACTTATATTAATATAAAGAAGATCATGCCCCTATATATGTATAGGATAGGATCCTTTTAATACAAGGGATAAGTCTAAAAATTTATACAAAATCTTAACCATACAAATCAAATAATTTAATAGTTAAAAATTACTTTGGTGGTATTAATGGATCTTTTATATATATATATATATGAATGAATTTGAGAATATCATGCTTATGACACCTCTAATATGATTGGGAAAATGTTGCCTTCGTTAATGAATAGATGTTAAGTGGCACTCAATAAATAGGTATTATGAGTAGGGACAGCGACAAAGATGATAATGACGTGATAGAAGAAAATAACTGATTAGGTTATAGAAAAAGTTGGTTCTAAAAAAAAAAAAACACTCTTCCTAACATATTATCTATGCCAAAATTTAATAAAAATAAAAAATACAAAAAATATTAATTTAAAAAAAAAATTATAATTTTTCAATAAATTTTAATAAACTGTGATGAATATGTTATAAAGAGTGTATTAATAGTATTAGACTAAATGCACATCTCATACATAGACCAGTCATATCATCCTTTTCTTAAAATGAGCCTCTACTGATCTATAGAATAACAAGGTTTCATTGATTAAAAATGTATCATTAAAATATTGTAGGAATTTCTTTTTCAAACTAAATTATTATGGCATGTTGTTGCATGTATATTTAGGTTAAATTAGTAAATTAGCCTCTTAGTTATTAGTTTTTAGTTTTGTTTTAATTTAATTTTTTAATATATTTTTTATTTTTATTTTTTAACTTATAAAAATATTTTAAATAAATTATTTTTTATTAAAAAATTTTACTGCATTTCAAATAAATCACCAAATTATTTATTAAAAATATATTTTTATCATTTTGTTAACATGTAAATATTTATATTATATTTTTTATATACTTTAAATTTTTAACATATTAATTTTTTACATATAAAATTATACACCTATATGATATATATATATATATATATATATATAATTAGTCAACAAAATTTTAACATTTTTAATAACTTGTGCTTTCTAGTACCCCATAGGACCTGTTCAAGAACAATGCCAATTTTTTCTTCTTTAAATTTTCTCTTCAGTTAAATAATTTTGAAAGCTATTTCACTTTTTCTTAGAGGCATGTTTCTTGAATCACCGCAAGTAGATATTCAATGACATCTCTTTTATATTTTGTAGGTATTTTTTTAAACGTATGTAAAAAATTTAAAATATTATATAATATTATATATAATATTAATTTTTAATAGTTTATATAATAGAACAGTTTTCTTATTCTTTTTCTATTTATTTCTTCTCACATCAATGTGAACAGTGACTTTCATCCCTTTATATATTTTCAACCAAAAAAATTCTTTAATCTTTTAAGATGTATATCTATTGCAAAATTAAGATAAAAAAAAAAAGTGGTGGATATATTAAACATATACAGACAAAAAGATTTATAAAATGACTGTAAATTTTGAAATAAAAATAAAGTTAAGATATATAGGAGCAATTTTCATTTAAGAAATATCATGACTATATATTTATGATTAAAATTATTATTATTTTTTAAATTTTATGTATTTTTATTTATTTATTTGTTTAAATCCTTGTACTATCTGTACTTTTTTTAATTTCGTTCTTGCTATGTCGTATACATTCCCGAACTGGATATATACATATAGTAGAGCTATATAAGAAGCACAAACAACGTTAAGATTCAAACCAAAGCATAAAATGGCGACCATTAAAGCTTCTTACACTATCATTCCAAATGAACCAACTCCCAATGGTCGATTATGGCTATCTGACTATGACCACTACACAAGACCGGGCCACACACCCCTTATTTACATTTACAGAGCAAAACACATCCACAAAAATGCCATTGAGAGGATGAGAAGCTCTCTAAGCAAGATTTTAGTGCACTATTACCCAATAGCTGGTAGATTGAGCTTGACACAAAGTGGTAGAATTGAATTGGATTGTAATACAAAGGGAGTGACATTGCTTGAAGCTGAATCCACAAAATCATTTGATGAATATGGAGACTTTTCACCCTCTATGCCCATCAAGGAACTTGTTCCAACAATTGACTATACTCAACCTATAGAGAGCCTTCCCTTGCTATTTATTCAAGTCACAAGGTTCCAAGGTGACCAAGGCCTTGCCATAGGATTAGCTGTGTCACATCCTGTGGGTGATGGGATTACTTGGATTCACTTTTTGAACTCATGGGCAAAGGTTGCTAAAGGAGACACGTTAGAGCCACATGAAATGCCATTTCTAGATAGAAAAATACTCAAATTCCCACACCAAACATCACCACCACACTTTGATCACCCAGAGTTGAAGACTTTGCCACTCCTGCTAGGCAAATATGATAGCATTGATGAGCAAAAAAAGAAGACAAGTTCTATATTGTTAAAACTCACATCAAATCAAGTGGAGATTTTGAAGAAGATGGCCAATGATGGATCCATGAAAGAAGGGTCAAGACCTTATAGTAGATATGAAGCTATTGTTGCACATATATGGAGATGTGCATCTAAGGCTCGTGAACTTGATGAGAATCAACCAACTATAGTGCGGTTCAATGTTAATTTTCGTAATATAATAAATCCACCTCTCCCTAGGAATTATTTTGGGAATGTTTTGGCACCAACAGTGACACCAACATGTTATGTTGGAGATATCATATCCAACCCTTTGAGTTATGCTGCCCAAAAAATAAGGGAAGCAACTGAATTGCTTACAAATGAGTACATAAGGTCACAAATGAGTGTTATTGTAGGTGAAGAGAAATTGGATTGCATAAAGGCTTTGTTTTTGGGACAAGGAGAACATGGGAATGCCCCATTTGGAGGGAATCCTAATCTTCACATCACAAGCTGGATGAGCATGGAAATGTATGAAGCAGATTTTGGGTGGGGAAAACCTGTGTATTTTGGTCTAGGATATTTGTTTCCACAAGATAGGGGAATTGTTATTCTTAGCCCAGAAGAGAGAGGATCTATTATTGTGAATATGCACTTTCAGATAGCTCATATACCACTATTTAAGAGATTCTTCTATGAGGATATATTCACGTCAAGGTTATAATCTATGGTTGGATTGTGGTTGTTGCTGGCTGTGAAGATCATCAATGATCTATGTAATCCATTACAATAACTGTTACAATTGTGCTGCTGCAATCCAATTGCGTGTTGCAATCTGCAGAACATAAATTGTGATTTAATTTGTATGTTGATGAATTTATTAAATCATGCTGAAAATAAATAAAAAGAAAATTGAATTTGATTGATTCTACTTTTACTAATTATCTTGCTACGCGTGACACGAATATTTTAAAAGTGAATTAGCTTCGGAAGGTACTCATATCCCTTGTCTCTAGTATAGATATACGTGCACCACTTTTTCTAGTTATTAATTTATTAGTTGATGCTGGAGTTTCATTATTTTGAATCATTCAAATTTAATATTATAATTAATGTTTATGCTTTTAAAAGAATAATTAAAAAATTGTTCCATTGCTTTTATCTCCGGAACACTAATATAATATCTCCACTACGACAGGTTTAGAATAACACCTCCAACTTGCTCAAAGTCTAGAATTCCAAAACTATGTCACTGCTAACGAAATGACAACGATAAGAATGATATTTTGTTGATTTTAATATTTTTGAAAATGAAAGTTCTGTTTCTTATATTTAATTTTCTAAAAAAAAAATCCATTCAAACATATATTTTCTTTGATCTTTATTATGTTTATTAAAAATAAAATAAGAAGCAATCAAATCAAATATATTAATTTTTCTCTCTTGAAATAAAAAATATGATAAATGTTAATCCGTATTTTTAAAGTGAAAAAAAAACATCTTTTTTTATAAAAATATAATAAATATATCAGCTTTTATTATTTTAAAAATAATAATATATAAAGCATTGATTAATAAAACCTAAAATGAAAGGATGCAAAAAGTTAATCAAAATCGTCCCATCACCGTTATTCCAAAGCAACATCGGTTGTATCCAAATTAATCAATTATTTAATATTGACTTGTCTTTCTCTATGTTTTGCAATTATGAATTATTATATGAGTGGATATTTATATTTATAACTCTTCTTTATTTTTTATAATTTATGATTTTGTAACTGTTTTGTTTAATTGTTATTCAAAGAGATACGATTTTTTAGTTATAATTTTAGGCCTATAAATACGTGTCTCATTTGTATTGAGGATATGTGAGATGAAATTGAGATTCTCTCTTCCTCTTTATATTTTTCTCTCTATTCTTCTTTATAATTTTACGTTTATTTTATAACATGTTATTAGCACGAGACTCTAGTACACATTTTTCAAGAAAGGAATATTATTGAATAAAGGTACGATATTCATTTTTTTTATAGAAATATATCACTATTTATTTATTGTAATCTCAATTAAAATTGCGTGGAGAAAAGATTTTTTATGAGTATACGTTAAAAGAAAAAATATTATCAACTTTTCACACACGTGCTCCTGCAACAGCAATATCGTGAAAAATGATTCAAAAATATTTTAAATTTATTCTTGTTTCCTTGTGGCTGAATAAAAAGGTTTTGATAAAAATCATGAATCTCGTCTAATTGGCATTGTTCCATTCCCAGAAGTGAATGTAACAACTTGTGACTATCGTAACTATACACAAATTTACTATCATGATAATGGTTATGGACATGGTTGTTGCGATAATAAAAAATATACATTTTTTATATCGAAATCAATCAATTATTTAATATTGACTTATCTTTTCTCTATGTTTTGCAATCCTTTCCACCTTTTTCAATACATGATATATCCTGGTTATAATTGTTTTATTACTTAAAATTAAAGAGCATGTATTTATGCTTTTTAAAGATAGACCAACAACTTCTACCATTTATTAACTAGTATTAACGATAATAACTATTTCTTATTTAAAGGACAGAAAATGTCCTCTCAATATTCAATGCACTGTAAAAATTATCTTAGTTATTATGACATGTATTTAAGTAACAGTTTATATCTATATAATTTTTAAATTAGTAAAATATAGACAATTTTAAAACATTAAAATATTTTTTTTAAATTTCTATTGGTAAGATTTAAAAAATTCTGACAACAAAAATTATCATCGGTGATCATTTGAAAAAATAATCTTTTATAACACTAAAAATAGTTATTCATAATTTTAGTCTTAAAATAATTTTAAAAGTTATCTTACTAAAAAAAAAAAATCATTTTTGACAATTTTTTTATTAATGATGTGTATAAATACTTCATTCCTCTTCATGGCAAATTGTAAGTGAATGTTTTAGAGAAGCATTCATCGGTTTCATTTCTTTTTGTTTTATAAAAAAATGAATTCACTAATACTTAGTATACTCAAATTATGAGATTCTTACACAAACAAATAAAAGTGTAATGTTTAGATGTGAAAAATAAACATGTATATATTTCATACAATATATCATCTGTATAACTGTTGTATCAGTTTAGTGAATAAAGTTGAGACTCTAAAAGCAATGTAAAGTATTACTTACATGGTTCAATATTAATATTTAATGGTTTCATATAATATTATATAATTTTAACAACATCGATAATGATGTTTAACAAATATTTTAATTTATCATCGGCGTTATCTTTTAATTCTTGTTATTAAGTTGTATATATTTTTTAAAAAAATTTAATTAACATTTATCAGAAAAACGATGAAGAGGAAGAAGCATGTGCAAACACATCATGACAACAAAGAGATAAAAAGGGATCATGACAACAAAGAGATAAAAAAGGGAACAAAACATCATTGAAAGTAATAATAACACTTTTGAAAAAGCATATGAAACCGACGAGGATAGCGGATGAGGAGGAGGAGAAAGGGCCTCACTTATCAATCATAGTAGTTGGGCATTTTATTTGGTGCATCATGCATAAGAATTGAGGGCATCTTATTAATAGTAAAATATAATATAAAATTAGAGTGAAATCATTGTGAGCTTCGAGGAAGTTTCATTTCACTTGTATTTGTCTTTGCTTTGTTGATTATGTTATTGTCTTCTTTTCTTTTAATTATCTTTTTTATTGAACACCAGTGAGAGAATAACAATGAGACCAGGGGTTTTAATTAGAGTGCAATTTTTTTTTTCTAATAAAAGGGACTCAACTCAACTTCCATAACAAAGTTAAAAAAAAATTCCTAAGATTCTAAATGTCAATAACATTAATACTTAAATAGACAAAGAGTAAGGAATTTCCTATATGAAAATAAGACAAAAGTTTTTCTAAAATTATTTTAACTAATTTATCAACACGTTAGTTTTAATGTAAATATGAGTAAATCTGATCAATTTAACAGATTTCAACAAATTCTTAATCACATTTATTAGAAAAATAGAAAATAAGTATACATTTGAACATTTAAAATTACTTTTAATTTAAATAATTTGGATACCCTTATATAAGAAGAGAGTAAGGAGCAAGCCTACTAAAAAACAAAATTAACAATAGTAAAATTAGTCCACCACAAGTAACAATTTTAGTTTATTCACATATATTCTCTTTATAGTTTTAGTAGTTCACATTTAGTCCCTTAATTGTGTGATTTTAGTTCTTCTATACTTTTAATTACTTGCATTTAGTCTTTTTAGTTTTTCAAATATGTGATTTTTATTTTTCTAGTTTTAATTCTTCATGTTTAGTTCATCTAATTTTTCAAAGGTTCAAATTAAATCCTATTTTAAGAATTTTATTATATTGTATATATATATATATATATATATATATTATTTGAATAGTTTGTATATTATTTTATACATTTTTATTAATCATTGAATAAATTTTTAAGATAGAAAATTTGATTTGAATATTGAAAAACTAGAAAAACTAAATATAAACAATTAAAATTAATGAGACTAAAATTGTACATTCAAAAAATTAAAGGAAAGATAATTCAAAAGACTAAATATGAATAATTAAAATTAAAATGACAAAAATTACATATATCAAAGTATACAATCTAAAAATACAATAAAACTTCTTTAATCAAAACTATAGATATATTTAACTAGAGAAACTTTTGATCTGAGCTGCGTAAAACTTATATAAATAACAAAAAAATTTAAACATTTAATACAACTATATTTATTAAAATTTATAGTCACAATTATGGAGGGGAAATCATTTTTACTAATTAATCAACAAGTTTGATAATTTTTTTAATTACATCGAACGAGAAAAAATAATTTAGTTTAAAAATATTTTTCATTTCATTTTTATTTTATCATTAATATTTGTCCTTGCATATTGTCGTATCAACCTTCATCTATATTTGTACTAGACCAACTCGAAATACTGTTCATTAATTTTTTTCCTCATTTAAACCACTTTATTGTTTTTCAATTGAAAAACACATTTGGTGGGTCCATGAGCTGTACTTGTTTGCTGGTAAAGAGATTGAAAGTGATTAATAAAAATTTAGAGATAATTTTTATATTAATTTTGACTTAGAAATAAAAATATTAATAGTTTTTGAGATAATGCTATTTTATCATTTGGTAGTGCTAACGTAGTCATCATGGTTCAAGGTGGCACTGTGTTGTGTTCTGGTTCTAATAATGTTATTTAATGTCCTTCTCATATGGTTTTCAGCAAAAAATATTTATTTATTAATCTTTTAATTGGTGCTTTTAAGATACTGATTAACGAGATCCAATATTTTCAGTAAAAAATTGAGAGTGGGTATGTGATTAACTGATATTCTAATATGGCATGTGCATACCCTTTTCAACAAGCAAGTTTGATAAAATAAAATAAAAAATTAACATTTAATTAACGTTAAATATTAAATACGACATTTATTAATTTTGATAATACATTTTTATACATTGCATTTGACAGTTTTATTTAATTTATGAATGAATTTGTTCAGAAAAATGAGCATATTTATAAAATATTATTAAACCAAATAATTTAAATAAAAAATATTTGTGAAATATTTGACTCAAATATAATTTTAAGAATTGTTTTAACTCTTGGTAAGCAAAGATATTTTAATAACTCGTGATAAGCAAGGATATAAGTTAAACAGTTTTAATAACTCGTGTTAAGCAAGCTTAGTACTGTTGTCTTCAGTAATTGAATAATGAAAAAGCTCTTTCTCTTTCGTTTTTTTTAAGGAAATCTCTCTTCAACCACTGCAAAAGTAGATCTCTCTTTATATTTTAATTTTTCAAAGGTGGATTACATTATAAATGTTGTGTTCTGAGTTTAAGTAGATTTTCAATTTCATTATGTATTTTTATTTTATTTAATTTTTAAGTTTAATTAAATTTTATTTTTTAAATTTGACTTAATCTTTATTTTTTAAAAAAATAAATATATATTTAACTTAATAAAAAATTTTAAAATAAAATTTTGGACAATAACTTTTTCTTTCACTTAATTATAACATTTAGTAATATTGTGTATTTAATTATTATAAAGTTTGTTAAAATAATGTGATTAAGTTGAATTTTATATGTTGTTAATTTTGTTAGTTTATTTTATTTAAATAAGTTTAATTATTATATGCATATTATAAACTGTTTCTTCCTAATTATGATTCTAATTATTTCAAATGTGCTTAAATATGTAAATGTTCTGAAGCTGCAACAACGATGAATCTTCTGATTTATCTTTTAATAATTTTATGTCTATGTAAATTACTAGTAACTAAAAAATAATAATAACTTAATATCATATAATAGAATAAAAAAATCATTTAATAATAAAAATCAATTCAAATTTCTACAAAGAAATAAATCAAAATATCGCATGATCATGAATTATAATTATAATTATCTTTCATAATATATTAAACACCATAATCATATTATTATTTAATAATATAATAAAAATAATACAGCACCAATTTTTTAAAACATAATTACCTATTTATTTCATAATTATTTACTAATAAATTAACTAAAATAAATATATTTTCTGTTTCATATTTATATAAGTATGATAATCATTATTTATAATTTAAAACTACGATCTTTTACTATTATTAATTTTAAATTTAAGTATTACTAATTCTTAATTTATTTATTATATTCCTAAAATTATTAACAATATTTTAATATAAAGAAATTTTAAATATAATAAATAAAATTATATAATCAATATATATATATATGTTTATTTAATTTATTTGTCTATATTAATTTATTACAATTATCATTAATTTTTCTAACTACAACAGTGTTATCATTAAAATACAAATAAAATAAATTAAAATATTCAAATAATAAGACAAGTTCCACATTTATTATAGTGTAAATACACATATATAAGTAATATCAATTTTTAAAAAAATATTATAACTAGTATCTTTTAATATATTAATTTGTAATTTAAGTATCTATAACATTTATTTTAATTTATATCTAAGTTTATTAAAAACATTCTAAATGCAAACATAAATTTAACTAGAAAATAAAATTACATAATCAATAAATATGTTTAATTCATTTATTCGTTTATGATTACTAATAATTTCTAAAAATTCTAATGTATTTACTATTCAATATGTATTATATTTTTACAACATAATTACTTAAACAATCTATTCATTTCTACAAAATTTATATAACTTTTAAATACAAATAAAATCAATTCAAGTCCACAAATAATCAAAATAAATTAAGATATCAAATGATCATAAATTATAATTGTAATCATAATTATTTTTCATAATCTATTAATACAAAGAAATTTTAAATTTAATAAATAAATTTATATAATCATTATTTATCGATATTAATTTATTAAAATTATCATTAATTTAATCTATCTACAACATATATCGTTAAAATACAAATAAAATAAATTAAAATATTCAAATAATAATACAAATTCTACATTTATTATAAATTTCCGGCAAATACTTAGAAGCGGCTAATGATGGCAAAGAAACACTTCCAACAAAGACGAATGGACACACTCAGGTTCACCGTTGTCAGGAGACGCGCTTACCAAAAATGGAACAAAATAGAAATTTCATTCTTCACATAAATGATTGTATCAGAGACTAAACTTGCCTGGTTTTGACACGTGTTATTTTTATCTTAGCTGTTAAAATCAATTTTTTTTTTAAATTTACACTTTTTAGTTTTATTTCTGCGCTTGATGAAACTTCATTGGATTAGTACTTGTGTTACTGTCTTGTAATTTTGTTTCTCTACAAGGAAGAAATTTATGTATATATAAAAAAAAAAAATCATGTCTAAAATGTATGAAACTTAAAATGATGTGATAAAAAAAACTTTGAATAAAGAAATAATTTCAATTTATTTTATTTTAAAATTAGTTTTAAAAACATTAAAAAATAATAAACTGCTCGTGTTAGTCCAATCAAATGTAAATTGTTTTTAATCGTTTTATAATGAAAAAGAAAAAGTTGTTGGAGAGGGTGCACTTACAGACAAGTCGTCTCTTTATAGTTTCTGCAGTATCTGATCATTAATCTTTTCCAAAGATAGTAAGTCTCAGAATTTCTGTGGCGATATAAGTTTTTTTAAATATTAAATTTTACAATTTTTAGTGATAATATTTTTAAAAAAATAAAAAAAATTAAAGTCTTTCTAGTACTAATGGTGAGATTTATGACGAAATTTATTTTGAAATATTTTTATTTTAATAATTTGCTTTTAAATTAATAATTAAAAAAAAATACCCAATTTGGTACGTCACTGCCTAGCTCGTGCTGCGCGTGAAAGATTAAATTATATAACATTCGGGATTACGGAACTGAAGTTCTCAAGATTAAAGCAAATTGTTTAGTCTTTTCGGCCAACAGATTTTGCCTGTTGTTGATTCAAGATCTGTCACAACAAAAACTCCTTTGGGGTCGAAGGAAGAGTTGAAAAATGTTAAAGGGTATTTTTCTTCCCTATATGGTAACTAGTCACATAATTCCTCTGGTAGACATAGGAAGGCTCTTCGCCATGCATGACGTGGACGTCACTATCATTGCTACACCAGTCAACGCTGCAATTTTTCAAAGCTCCATTGATCGTGATTCAAGCCTTGGTCGCTCCATTCGAACCCACATTGTTAAGTTCCCACATGTGGCTGGTTTGCCAGAAGGAATAGAGAACATCAACTCTTCTACTCCTGTAGCCATGTTCCCCAAAATCATGGAAGGAGTAACCATTCTTCAAGGCCAATTTGAACAACTTTTTCGTGACATGAAACCTGATTTCATTGTCACTGATATGTTCTACCCTTGGAGTGCGGATGCTGCTGCTGAATTGGGAATTCCGAGGTTGGTTTACATGGGTTCAAGTTATTTTTCTCACTGTGCAAGTAACTCCATTGAAGAATTCTCACCTCACACTAAGGTGAATTCAGATAGTGAGAGTTTTTTGCTTCCAGGGTTGCCGCACAAGTTGGAGATGACACGTTCTCAGTTACCCGATTGGGTCAGAGAACCAAACTTGTACACTAATTTACTAAAAATGATTAGAGAATCAGAGAAAAAGAGTTATGGGTCTCTGTTCAAAAGCTTTTATGAGTTTGATCGAGGTTATGAGGAGTATTACAATGCTGTGACTGGCACCAAGAGTTGGAGTTTGGGACCGGTTTCCTTATGGGTGAATCAAGATGATTCGGATGAGACTTGTAATGGACATGCCAAAGAAGAAAAACAAGAAAAAGATGATTGTCTTACATGGCTTGATTCAAAAAAAGAGAATTCAGTTCTCTACGTGAGTTTTGGGAGCATGAACAAATTCCTTGCGACACAGCTTGTGGAAATAGCTCATGCTCTTGAAGATTCTGGCTATGATTTCATTTGGGTAGTTAGAAAAGTTGATGATAATGTGTTGGAGGAATTTGAGAAGAGGGTGAGAGAAAGCAATAAGGGTTATCTAATATGGGGTTGGGCACCGCAAGTTCAGATACTAGAGCATCCTGCCACTGGGGCTGTTGTGACTCATTGTGGCATGAACACTGTTTTTGAAAGCGTGAACGCAAGTTTGCCAATGGTGGCTTGGCCTATTTTTGCTGAGCAATTTTTCAATGAGAAGTTGTTGGTGGATGTTCTGAAAATTGGAGTGGCAGTTGGAGCAAAAGAATGGAGAAATTTGCATGGCACTGCGAAGGAGGTATTGAAGAGGGAGGACATTGGAAAGGCAATTGCCAAAGTGATGGATGGTGGGGAGGAGTGTTTGGAAATGAGGAAAAGAGTCAAAGTTCTAAGTGATGCTGCAAAGAAGGCCATTCAAGTTGGTGGGTCTTCTTATAATAACATGAAAAATCTAATTGAGGACCTCAAGTCAATCAAACTTCAAAAAGAGGCAGCGGCTTAGTGAGTGGAAAAGATGAACAAGACACATTATTTTTGGGTCCCATGATATTTATGAGACTCATAAATAATGTGTTTTTATCTCTCTTAACTATGAGAATATATGTAATAGCACCTAGAACACTATTGCCTTATGGAAGATATGGCCTCTTGTAACTCAAATAATTTGGATTTAATTGCAAGTTATGGAAGATATTGGTGATGCTTTCAGAATTTCTTTACCTTGCTCGCTATTGTGTCATTTATTTTTGTTTTTGGTCCATATGTCATTTTCTTCTAAACGTTGGACAATTGCAATTCGGGTTATTATATTAAAAAATATAAAAAAAGTATTAATTTAAGAATAAAATTTTTAATAAATTTTAACAAATAGCGAAAGGTGTGTTACAAAGATTATGTTGATAGTACTACTTTTTCACCAAAAACACATATCACACAGAGAGCACGCATAACATCTTTTTCTGAAAATAAACTTCCATTAATCTCTAAAATAATAAGGTATCATTAATTAAAGATACAAAGTATAATTAAAATATAGTAGGATTATTTTATCAAACATAATTATTATCTTTAAACCTTGATGTTAAAATGTATAATTCAAATATAGTAAGATTATTTTTTTCAAACAAAATTATTATCTCTAAACCTTGCTAAAATTATTATGGTATGTTGCTGCATGTATATTCCGGCTAAATTAATAAATTAGTCTCTTAATTTTTAGTTTTGTTTCAATTTGATCTTTTAATATATATTTTTTATTCTTTAACTTACAAAACTATTCAAATAAATCATTTTTTTTTATTAAAAATGTCAACTTTATTTCAAATAAATCATCAAATTATTTATAATTTTTTCTCCTTATAAACTGCGACAAAAATATAGTAATTCCCTACTTCATTTTCTTCTCTTTTCTTTTCTTTCTTTTTTCTCTTTCTTTTTTTATTTTTGCACAAATTTTTAATGGTGGAAAGAGAAGAAAAGGTTCCAAAAGATCAAAAATCAAGGTATCTTAGAAATTCATAATTGAATTGTCATCTCCACTTTAAATAGTTTCTATCTTATTTTTTTTATTTTTTTCACAATCAAAACCTTCATTTATGAAATGATATTACTTTTTGGAATAAAGATGAAATCTTTCATAAAAAAAACTAATACCATTTTGTTAATTTATACCCATCAATTCTCTTTTGTTCAATTTTCAAAATCATAACTTTAGTTTTTTCAACTGAATAAATTGTTACTACCTTCTTTTGTTCCTCGGTAGATCTCTTCTCAGTTGAGGTTCAATTTTCTTACATTATCATGAATTTAATAGTAGAAGCAATAACATAACAAAGAAGTTTTGGTGACAAAATTAAAACATATTTCATACTTGCGAAAATATATGTTTTTGTCAGAATTCATAGAAAAAATGATAATGAAGAAAGTTTTAAGGAAGAGCAAAAAGAGACTTTGTCTCCATTAAAATAATTATTGATACTTAATTTGTATTTGATGTTATCATCATTGTTTCACTCCTAATTTTGTTTAGATTTAGTTGATAACACTTTTAAAACGATAAAAATTGGTCCTTACGGCCAACCAAGTTATGTTAAGTGATGAGTTAAATAATAAAATTTATTTTTTAAAAATTAATATTTATAAAAAAAAAAGCCTTAAAAATATTTAATTTATTTTGAAAAAGTCTCTATCATCACTCTCTCTCTTCTTCCACTATGTTTGGCAGCACCTTCTTCACTTTCTCTCTACCTTAAATCTATTAACAACACCTTCTTCAGTGAAAATTTTTTTTTTGTTGGATATCAAGTCTGGAGTGATGGGTTTGGCTGACATGATTTTCCTTAACATTGAAAGCCGAAGTTTGTTTTGTTGGAACAATATGATTTGTAGGTACTCTCAATTATATGGACCCTATGAAGGGATTCATGCCTTCACCTAAATTAATGCTCGAGTGTGACTCCATTTTCTCTCAATACGACTTTGGAGTTCAATATCTTAGTATGCTGTGGAGATGTGCAGTCAAGATTTTAGAACCAATGTCATGCATGACGTATGGTAGTGTACTCAATGCATGTGCTAGCATTTCTAATCTAGAATGGGGTAGGTATTTGCAAATTCGGATTCTTCACATGGAACATAATAACCTGGATGAGTTCTTGGGAAGTGGTCTTATAGACATGTATGCTAAATGTGGTGTTAGATGATTTTACTCTCGCAATTTAGGAAATACTTCATATGTATACAATCAAAAGTTGGATGGATTCTTTTATTCCCATATGTAACCCATCAATAACACCTTCTTTAGCGATGGGATAGAGGATTAGGGTAATTTTGAGATTGGAGATTTCGGTAGAAAATGAAAGAGAGTGATGGAGTTGCTGCTAAACACAGTGAAAAAAAAAGAAAAGGGAAAGATATTGCTAGAGAGAATTCTTCAAAATAAATTAGATATTTTTTTTAAAAAATTTATAAATATAAAATTTTAAATAATAAAATATTAAAAATAATAATGATATAGTAATGGTGAACTAGACTTTCGTTGTCAAGTTCATCATTTAGTTGATGGTATAGATCAATTTTTATCATTTTAAATATGTCAAAGACTAAATTTTAATAGTTTTAGCATATTTTTTAAGAATTTTTTGTTTGAAAAGAAACTAAGAATAAAAAATTTAAATTTAAATTGAAAGAAAAGTAGAAAAAAATATTTTTTTTCTTTTAAATTTTTCTTTGACCAAACAAATGAAATACATTATTATTCTCATGTTAACTCCTTAAATGTTTAATTAATTTTTTACTGTGAACTCAACATTTTATTTGAATTATCATCTTATAAATTATTTCGTGAGCTACAATTAATGTTCTTAATTTTGTCAAATTAGGTTAATAATTATGATCTATTTGAGCATACTTAATTCTATTAATAATATGATCAATTACTTATGTGCTTTAGATACTTAATACTGGTTTATATAAAAAAAAAATAGTATAGATCTAACCTATGGGTTCATAATGAAAGGTGTTTAGGGTTAATAAATAACATGACTAAGTCGCCTTTACCATTTTAGAAACATATTACATTGCTCTTTAAGTTTGTTCCATTGAAAACCTAGTAGTAGGATAATGTGATGAGGTAGAAAGAAGACTTAACTTCTCATTATTCATATTTGACTTCTTATAATAACTTGATACAGTTTATAATGTTTACAACAAATAAGTAATTTTATAATTGGTGTTATAAATTCATATAACAAGATTTAATTCAATTTTTTTCTACATTTATTATAAGAGTTTATAATTATATAATTTAATTACATCTTCAATATGCTGAATCAACTTCTTGTTACTAACTAGAGGTAATACTTTATCAGGATTATTAGGATCCAAATAATTAATTTAAATTCTGGCTCTAGTTCTAGTAAGCCTTGCCAAGGATATCAAACCTAGGCCCTACTTGAAGCTTTCTCTTCTTACTATGATTCACAAGGGTTCCAACAAGGTGGGGAGAATTTGACTTCTTTCTAAAAGGTTTTCTTGCTAACATCCAGGGACCAAATTGTTCCATCTCAAGCATAGAGTTATTCTTCTTATCAGCCATCTCTAAGTCCTTTACCACCTCAGTATTATTATCTACACCCTGTCCATCAACTACAGCCTTAACATCTTGATTAACTCTCTAGTCAACCTCAACTTGACTATAGTTGGGCTCTCAACACACTATAACTATACATACCACATTTAAAACACATGAGGCAAGGTACTGATAATATTTTAATTCTTCAAGAAATAATGCACTCCTTTAATAAATTAAAGGGTAGGACAAGCTACATGATCTTTAAAATTGATATTGAAAAAGCATATAATAAACTTAGATGAAATTTTATTATTAATACTTTACAAAAAATTAGCTTAAAAGATGAGTTTATTAACCTCTTGCCTAATTGTATTTCTTCTCCTTCTATGTATATAAATTGGAATAAGAGTAAGACTAGATCTTTAAACCCCTCTAGAGGGATTCATCAAGGTGATCCTATTTTCCTGTACATATTTGTTCAGTGTATAAAGAGGCTGGCCTACCTGATTTAGGACCAAATTCTAGCTGAAAATTGGTCCCTTTTCCCTATTAGTAACCTTGGCCCTAGGGTCTTCCACCTTTTTTTGGCAAATGATATTATCCTAGTTGCTAAGGCTCACATGAATCAAGCTAATATAATTCATAATATTCTATCTTATTTCTGCTCTGCATCTGGCTTTAAAATCAATAATGATAAGTCTTTCTTATTTTTCTCTAAGAACACCAATTTTATCCTCTCTCATGATATTAGCACTAGGTTAGGTTTTAAAGTTACCTCTATGTTTGGTAGATACCTTGGAGATCCTATTAGTAAGAAAAACCCTCAAGACAAGATTTTGCTTTTAAAATTGATAAAATTAGAAAAAAAACTCTTACATTGGAAAATGAATTCCCTATCCATGACGGTTAAAGTTACCTTTGCCTAGTCATGTATAATGAGCATTCCAGCCTATCAAATGCAATCCATGGTTACCCCTAGCACTGTGTATAAAGAAATTAACAACATATGCAAAAATGTTATTTGGGGATCCGTTGGTAAAAAAAAAATGTCACCTCATTCTCATTGTTCTAAATTTGTAAACCTAAATTTAGTGGGAGACAAGGATTTAAGGATCTCATTCTACTTAATAAGGCCTATATGATGAAACTGCTTTGGAGGCTAACTAAATGTCTTGAATACTTGTGGGCTTAAGTTATTTGTAAAAAATATAAATTTACTCAGGGCAAAAATATAATCCTAGGCTAAGCCACATCCAGCAAAGTTTCCACCTTTGTAGAACCTGGTTTCTGTTTGGGATTCCTTCTCCAAAAGGTTAGGTTGTGAAAAATAGATTATTTATAAAATTTTGGAGGGATAATTGGATCCCCCATATCCAGGATTTAGACCAGCATGCGTTGCATCCCATCAATGAGGAGGATCTTGATTCTCCTGTCATCATCTATTCATCTCAGGATAACCAAGGATTGGGATAGGATTAGCATAATGCTTCTTGCTCCCATATGTGATGTTATATCACAAATTGATCCTGTAACACTTTAAATTTTTTTTTAACAAGTAAATAAATTTTTGTGGCGAATAAATAAATTCATTTTTGAATACATACAAATTTCAAAATTTCATTAAAGACATTCCCAAAATATCCTTTATAATCAAAATCTATTCAAGTATATAATTATATAATTAAATAATTAAATAAATTATTTACACACTTTGGTCAACACGAAATATAGTTAAATAATTCAATACAAAGCTCCCAAATTTTCTCAATCCCTATAGAGTAGTCTTCCTTCTAATACCCTCGGATTATAATCTTAGGACGGGCCAAACATCTTTATCTCTTTACATTCGCTACCTAAAAATATTAGTAAGGGTGAGTACCTCCCGCCCCACTAAATCTCTGGTTAACAAGAGTGAGATAAGTACATGTTTATTTACATAATACTAGAAATATTATTTTACAAGGATTTGTATCAGCAATGACACTCAATCACCAAATTACCATCACAAGGAGCACACAGGACAAACAATCAATCACGTTCACCACTTCAAATCATGTATTTTCTACTAATTAGCACGTCATAATATATGTATTATACCACGTCAATCGATATATCACAACACATGTGTTCTAATCACACTCGTTGATGTATTATAACACATATATCATAACAACTTCAATCGACATGTTATAATGTGTATATTATAACTATATAATCTCTGTACTACTTCATATACATCACACTTTTACATTTATTTACACATTAACATTCGATGTCCCTGTGATCCCTTGAGGACTTCATAATTTAGATAGCCGCTAGTTAGCCGCAACAACACTAATACACGTGTGTTGACTCAGCCCCTTCTAGCAAAGGTATAGGTAGGAGTCTCGTCAAGAAATGAGTGTGTGACCTGTGAATGCTTTTATTTTTAGCAAATCATTGTGCACTATCCACACTAGCATTCATTACCCTCATTTCTCCAAGAATTTCCAAATCTTCTCCAGACTCTATACTCCTAATTGTATCACTGTAGCTATCTAAACTCACCATTACATTTCTCAATTGTTTTGATACCCTTTTCATAGGACACGTGTCATATTGCGCGAGTCTTACCCACATAGCTTAGTTTATTACAATACATTTATTATGAGTACTCCCATTGGTCATACCACAATACCTGTATTGCAATCACATCCATTTGTCCAATTTGACTCCCGTATTATGATCACTTGTTCAACATTTCATTCAATTCATTCACACGTGCACTCACTGCACTTAGTCATGCTCATTATGGTACCGTGATTACATCACACATCATACAGAAAACCTTTTCTTTATATAAGAACAGTCAAACACTTGCATTATATCATAGGTTCACTCATTTAGCATATTTCAATCATTAAACAACATAAATACATCATCAATCAATCTTAACATACCTCAATCATCAACAACATTTGTCCAGTCACAGAAATCACTAATCATTTCACCTATCACACAATCAATACAATATGCCGGAGGTCAGATACCCCGGACTCAGCCCAATTGCACAATTCATCACTCATTTTGTTTCAGTAATATTAATAGGGTCGTCTATCCTAAGGTTTAACACAATCCATTATTCTAGAAACACCAATTAGCATACTTCAACTACTCCTAATAATGTTTTTTTAGTAAAATCATAGTGTTCCTCAAAGACGGTTTCATTTAGAGCCTTTATTACAAGTTATATGTGGATAGTATAAAAGTAATTAGGAGTTTTTCATCAAATTCAAAGTACCTAAGAGAAATTAGGGTTTGGAATTAACTCTTCTTACCTTAGAATGGAGACCCACCATGAAATTAACGATAGAATAGCTCCCCACACAGATTTTCGTCCCTAAAACATGAAAATTCCCATGAGAAACCTAGAATACAAGAAAAAAGGAAGAGAAACTGAAAATCCTAACTCGTAAACTTACCTCCAAGCATCCCAAACTTGATTTCAACCTTCAATCTAGCTTCCAAACAACTTTGGAGGCAATTTAATTGGTAAGAACGGGTTGGGAGTGGAGAGAACTGAAAGGATTTCAAAAGGAGGGATGAGAAATGAATTTTTCAATTCCTAAACTCTTCAAATACTCCTCAGATCATGACACGCTCGCTACAGCGACACATTCTCGCTACAGCGAGGCATCTCTTGCTGTAGCGACACCCTAGTCGCTACAGTGAAAAACTCAAGAGAAACTGCACCCTGGTTTCTACAGAATTTCGCGGCA